GTACAGGATAACTAAAAACAATTTCATTCACATTGGTTCTACATTGTAGACAGAGCATCTGTGCCAACGGCTCGTAGATCTGCTGCGTGGCCGTTTCTGGTGGATTCCAGAATGGAGCCACAGTTGGGCTTATTGTGGGAACTCAGCGGCGGCCCTAACTCCGGGGGTTTGCTGGCACCCCGACACACCGCCGCCAAGCAGGGGGGTTCCCATCCTCTGGGTCACCAGCCCGGAAGCTGCATGGGCTCCCCTCTGTTGTCATCAGCAGGGGCTGGAGCACCCCTGGCTGGTGCACCGAGTTCTCTTCACTGCTAGTTGTCAGGGGCTCTGGACCCCAAGGGCTGGCCGTTGGCCGGGCAGCCTGCCGCGTCTCACGTAGGTCTGCCAGGAGAAGGGTGGACAATGTATAGGGGCCTCTCTGCTCCCACTGCCACGTGTCTGGGACGTCTGTTGTCCAGGCTTGGGAGGGCGCTGCGAGAAGCAGGCAGGCTAGGGAAAGGTCCCCAGCCCTCTGGCCCCCTCCACCATGGCTGGGCTCTCTGTTTTCCTTCCCAATGACTAACGAATGCTCCTTCTCTCCATTTCTGATCGGTGTCTTCTAGGTTGCCGGCCCTTCCTGAAGATCTACCAGGCCATGCAGCCGGTGTACACGTCCGGGATCTAGTAAATATCACCTCTCTCTCGGGTTCCTCTCTCTCCCTCCAGGCCCTTCCTTCCGGTTCCTGTGACTGTCTCCTGTCCGAGAGCTGGTCCCCGGTGACCCAATGGGCCTTCTGCATCTCGGACTCCGATGAGCTCGGTTGTTGATGTGAAACACGGCGGGGTCCTGTCCGGGAAGGGGAGAGTTCGAAGTAGAAACAAGCTGCACTTTGCGCTTCTGGTTCATGTTGGCCACACAGAGTGTGGTTCCCTCTGGCACGTTGTTCCCAGCCTATTCCGAGCACTCGGCTGAGATCTCGGGCAGTCCAGGAAGTGACCGTCCCTTCCCATCCGTCTGGCCTCACTTGAACTTGCTTTGGAGTTTGCAGCGCTCCAGGTCAGGCCAGGCAGGGGGCTGAGACCTCGGTCGGAGCTATGGGGTAGGGGAAGATGGGCTGAGAGCTCTGAGACCGGAGCCCCTACCCCATCCGCCCCTTCCCCTGCGGCCCCGCCCCTGTTCTGCCCTCACTCCACCTCTTCCCCCCTGAGACCTCGCCCCCCCCCGCTCTGTGCCCCCCACGGTGGCCCCGGAAAAGCTCTGTGTCACCGTGGCGGCCCCGGGGCCATGGTGGGGGGAGATTTTTCCGGGGGTCCCAAATCTGCCATTGTCCTCCCCACCCCACAGTGACATGAGGTTAGGGGAGGCTTAGCCTCCCCCTGCCTCCATTATGCACCACCCAGGAGGCCTGGCCAGGAGAAATCTTCCCTGGGAAGCTCCAGACCTGTTCCTGACACATACCATGTAGACTTGCCCCCAACACGCGGCTGACCTGCTCCGAAGGATCCCGGCGGCACTGGCGGATCAGCGCATCTGACCTAAAAACTGCCCTCCCCTTCCGGTGTGCTCGGAGCCCCTGCCCCAGGGCGTGCGAGCGAGGCCCAGTCGATTGGGAGACAGACGATGCGCTCAGGGGGAAGTTCCCTCCTGTGCGGCCAGGCAGCACAAGGCCCTGAGGGCTCCGTGGGGGACTTCGATGGTGCCCAGGCTGCCCGCTGGTGGATCCTGCCCTAAGGGAGAGAGGGGAAGCCCAGAGCAGTGGTCGCACGGGCAGCTGCAGTGCTGGGACACGGGGCAGTGGCTGGGAAGCAGGGATGTAACATCGTTCGTGCTCGTTGGGGATCTCAAAGCACTTTGGGTGTCTCCCAACCCCTTGGGCTGAGGAATGGGGCTGGGAGTGTCGCGAATGGGCTCCCTCATGGCATCTCCCTCCCTGTATTTCGGGGCTTCCGCCTCCCAGGAAAGCGGATCTGGGCAGGAGTGGGGGGGTGGGGAGCACAAGCATAGAACGGCACCCACCTGCTACCTCCAGCCACTCAACGCCACATCGAGGCTGGGGCAAAGGTGGGGTCAGCTCCCAGCCCGGCTCCCCCAGCCCCACCTTCCGACCCTGCCCCCATTGAGCTGTCTCGCCCGATGCCTGCCTGGCCCCAGTGCTGATGTGTGCAGCGGGGAGTGGACAGTTTGGCTTCCATGTGCTAATTTGAAGCTAGGCGGTGGGGTGGGGTGTATGTGCCCTGGTGGACACGCTGGGTATGTCTACACTGCGCTCCAAGCCTGGGCTCTCACTCAGGTTTGAACCCAAGCCCCTCTTCCGTCCACACGCGTATCAGGCTGACTCAGGTCAGCAAGCACTGAGGACCTGGGTCTTAGGACCCTGCTAGGGGGGTGGGTCAGAGCGTGAGTCCTGCTGCGACTTGGGTCCAGTTGCTGCCATTTTGCAGTGTGGACACAGCTCCAGCTGCAGACCCAAGCCTGCGGAGTGCAGTGCGGCCGCGTTAGCACGGCAGTGAGAGCTGGGGCCAGCAGTTGTAAATCCAGGTTTATAAGGCAGTGTGGACACTTCAGGGCAGGCATTGGAACCACTGAGTCCACAATCCCGGGTCCCCCCGACGCCAGTTTGCAAAGCAGTGTAGACACAGCCTCTGTGAACACCGTCGCAGACAAGGGTGCGTGGAAAAACGCTTGTCTCTTTTCTTCCCTTGTCCCCTTGGCCTGTCCGACTGCACCCCCCGCTCCCTAATATGTGACCTGCCCATACAGGACACGCCCGTTTCCAACCAGGCCTGATGCCACCTCTTCAATGACATTTACCACAGGCCCAGTCGTACCTTTCAGCTTTTAATAGCCTGTCTATGGGAAGCTGTTAATAAACCCCACGTTTATCTCACCCGTGAAAGCTGAGCTCCCAAGACCACTTGGATTAACTCCCATGGGCCATCACATCCACTGGGCGGGCTGGTGCGGGGCAAGTGAGGAGATTGCTGAACAAAGGGGGTGGAAGTGACGGGCCCAGAGCCCCATAGATAATTAGGGGCAGAGCTGTGGGGTGCTATGTACCCTGGGTCGTATCCTGCTCTAACCACTAGACTAAAGAGTCGTCTGATGTCCCAGCAGGGCACTGCTCCTGTATAAATGCTGATCGTTGGGTCAGGGCCCACTGGGAGAGACGGGAATATAGTTTTGCTGCTTCTCTTTGGTTTTCCTGGGATGCTGTCAAATAGTTTAGACCCCAGCAGCGACCAACTGTATATTATAATCAGCGGTAAAATGTGCTCCGGACTCGAACGATCGACCTTAAAAAAGGCTGCAAAAGGGCAAATCCAGTAGCCAGTGTTTTTTGTAGGACCTATACAAAAACGACCGCTGTCCCTGGCATGATCCTTGTGAGCTCCCCCTGCCGGCTGGGCTGACACAGTCAGCAATGCTGGCGCGCCGATGGGCTGATTTCAAGCCCCGTTCCCAGCTCAGTGATGCAAGAATTCCCCTGGGAATATGGGAGCTGAGTGACTAGCCCAGAGAAATTCCCGCTGGCCCGGGCCGGCTGTGCTAGGAGCTGCTGCTCAGGATCCAGGTGAAGAAGGCCCCGCCTCACTGCCCCCCCATTCAAGCCCTGAGTCCTCACCCCAGGCCCCCAACCAGCATTGGGGTTGCCATGGCTTTTTCTCCGCCGTCCCCGTTCATTTGGGTAATTTCTCTGCCCCTCCTGGGTCCGTCTCCGGGTTAAAAGCCCAGCAGCTGGGCTGCACCTGACGGGGGTGTAGCTGGGAGCACACTGGATGGTGCCGCAGGGGGCCTGGGGTCTGTTCCTGTCTCATTTCCCCGCCTGCCTATTTCGCCCGTGAGCTCTTCGGGGCAGGGACCGGTCCTGGCTGTGTATCTGTACAGCACCCGATCCCGGGTGGCGCCTCCAGGCGCCGCGGAAATGTATACAAAGACCGTGGTAATTTTCCTGGCCTGGGGGGCAGCTGGAAACAGCAGAAACTACGTGATGGAGCCTTTTCTCCTGGCGTTTCCAGCCAGGCCTCGGGCGAGCTGGGGAAAGCACCCGCCTCGCTAGGGTTTCTCTCCACGCCCGCCCCCGGAGCTGCTGGAGATTGCCTGCCCCTTGGCCGATGGAGCCCTTGGGCTCGTGCACCCAGACTGAGTGATTTCCCTCTCTCCGCAGCAACGTGCAAGGAGACAGCCAGACCAGCATCTGCATCACCATCGAGCCCGGACTGCTCCTGAAGGGAGATATCCTGGTAAGAGCCGACGTGGCCTTTCGAGCTTCAATAGCAGCCTGCCCTGAACCTCCCATCCAGTGGGGGAGGTGGGCCCACTGGGGATAGCCTGGGAGAGGCAGGAGGGGGCTGCCGGGGGAGAAGAAACAGCCCGTGGGGGAAGGTGGAGGATAGTCCGTATGGGTAGGGAGACCCCAGCTCGAGCTCTGTGCGAGGCTGAGCCCTAGGGGGAGCGGCTAGAGCCCACCCCGCTGTTCTGCAGGTGATGGGGAAGGGTTCCCAGCTTTGCATCTTGGTGCAACGGGGTGAACTGGTGCCTTGCAATGGCCACATGCTCACATGGGCATCAAAGCCATCTCCACGCTGCCTGGCCCCGGAAGTCACCGCAGGAGCCGTCCGGTCTGCCCTGTTGCAGACCAGCCGGTTACCCGAATATCAGGGTGCGCGACAGCTGGGAAGAGAGGAGAGAAACCGCTCCCGCTAGGCCAGCTAGATAAGGAGAGGCAGCGAGACTGAGAGCCGGCATTGCCCAGGGCTCGCTGGTCGGGTTGTGGAGAGGCTGACACCTCTTCCCTTCTCCCGGGCAGCTGAAATGCTACCACAAGAAGTTCCGCAGCCCGACCCGAGACGTCATTTTCCGGGTGCAGTTCCACACCTGCGCCATCCATGACCTCGGCATTGTCTTTGGGAAGGAGGACCTGGACGAAGCCTTTAAAGGTGATTGCGTCGTTCTTGCCAGGCGGGGAGAGGAATGTGGGACCCAGCCTGGACGGGGGAATCTTGTGCCGCTTGCGGTTTGGGGGGGTTCATTGATGAGTTACTTTGCCGGCTTGGTTTTCACAGGTCTGCTCCATTGCGGTTCTGATACAGCTCCCATCACCAGAGTGTCTGGGAACATAGATATATCAGCCCCAGACTGCGGGACTTTGGTAATTTTCAGAGGACTTGGAATATCAGGATCCCAGTGTGCTTCCCAAACTGTCTCTGCTTCTCTCTCTCTAGCACATCTAGCTGTGACCCGGGTTCAATCCACCTGGGGTGACCCCTTTCTCCACATTAAAAGTGCAATGGGATCCGTAATGACCTCTTTGGTTTTGCATCTTATCTAAGATGGTCGCACAGCACTTCCCAACACCATGGTAGCGCATTGATCCAGTGCCAGCCCAGTGAAAAGGGCATCACCAGTGCCACATACTCCGAATCTGGGTTGTCTTTGGCCTCTCCAGTCCCACCCCGCTTCACTTGTGAGATCTGATTAGCTCATTCGTGGTCTGCCTGCCTACCTAGGCTCTTTGGTGGCATCTGAGCACCGGAGGTTGGGAATGTCCCACCGATCAGCGTACCCTGGAGCAATGCGCATGGAGGTTCACACCTGCTCCCATCTAGGGCAGCTGTAAGGAATCTCTGCCAAGCTCAGCTCGTTGGGAAGTTGCTCTCGACCTCTCGTCCAGCTACCCGTGGGTACCAGCCTGAGACGGGAGCTTTGTGCTTGATGCAAACCTGCCCGCTAGGCCCTACTAGGCGTTTTCATCCCTGCATCCTACCCTCCACGTCCGTGTGTCCACACGGAGCTGAACATTGTCAAGAAACACACAATACCCGGAGAGCAGATGGTGATTTTCTTGCCGCCAGCAGCACTGTATATCCTAAGTGGTCCCCACTGATAATTCATTGGATCAGTTGGTCTGTTCATCCATCCATAGGCTGCTCTTGGGTGAAGGTCCCTTCAGCTCTGCCCCTGGTCATTCCTCTGTATCATCTCCTCTTGGTCCTGCCGGGGTTCCTGCCACCCGTCCAGCTACAGCTGCTTGGTCTACAGCCAAGAGAAATCAAAATTTCCTGACAACAAAACTTGCAGTTTTCTACAGCCACCCATCCATTCTGAGCCACCCGTCCACCGTTATCAGCCCCTTTTAGCCCTATTGGAGGCCTCGTGCACAAATCTGGTTGGAAATCTTTTATCAAAACATACTTTTTGATTTAAAATAGCTTTTTGGTGAAAGGGAAATTTTAGGGAAAAAATTCCATTTTTGATGAAAATGCAAAAAAAAAAAAAAAATTCAACAAAAAATTGCAACAAAATGGATCCCCCCCCCTTTGTTGAAATTTTACGGAAGAAAAAGAATGATTTCCTGACCGGCTCTCTGCCTGAAACGCTGCTGCTTCCCTCCGTCCTCATCTCCAGGTCCCTGCCCTACCGCAGGGCGAAGGCCTCTTCTGCACTGCTCCTGTCCAGCCAGCCCTATGTCTTCTCTCCTCCTCTGCAGATCACTGACCTGCTGGTGTTGCTCTGTCTCTCCGCCCGCATCACTGCGGGGGAAAGACCTGGGATTTCTCCCTCCCTATCGGCTGCTTTCATCCCCAGTGCAGGCTGAAGGTCTCCTCCTCGCTCCTCAGGCTGGGTGGGTTTGCCTGCAATCTGCATGTGTGGCCAGGGATGTGACCCTGCTCGCCAAGTCGTCTTCCCCAAGCTGCACCGTGGGTTTGAACTCGCTGGGGGTGGTGGCCCCCCGGCATCTCTCATGGGTCATGCCCGTGCCACTCGAGCCAGTGTTCACTTGCCGGCTGGTCCTGTAACATGTGCTGTTACTCTGTCTTCTGGTACAAAGGTGTCCCCTAGCTCCAGCAGCCGGCCCTGGGACACAGGTCTGCTTCATTCAGCGAGTAATTTACAACCGTGCCCCAGAGATGTGGGGATGTGAAACGGGACACTGCGGGAATCCCCAAGGTGACGCATTGCATGCGGGGGCTATGCCAGCAACCGTTGACCTAAGCCCTGGAACAATATTAGTCACTCCCGCACGGACGCCATGACATTTTTACAGCCTGCAAGAGTGTCAGACTCTAGACCAAGCGAAAGTACTTTTGATGGAGTGACACGCGGAGGATGTATTTCTTACTGTAATTACCCTTTGGCCCTGGAGCAGGCTCAGGTTCCCCTGCGTAGAGCCCCCACCTTCGCCTGTTTTAAGTCTCAAGAGTTGATTGAATTGGAGAGCGAAGGAAGGTAGCCACGTACTGCAGCTGGTGGCCAAGGATCACTCGTTATTTCCATCGGAGGCGTGTCTCGGGCCTCCCCCAGCGGGAAGGACGCCCCGTTAGAGCAGCGACTGACAGATGGGTGGAGAAGGTTGCTCAGATGTTCTGGTGTTGAGCACGGTGTGAAAGGCAGATGGGGCCACCCCCATGTTGAGTGGCAGTGGACAGCTTTCTTGGCGGTTTGTTGATGGCGTATGGGGTCCTCCATCTCTATGGAGTCAATGACTGGAGGGGGCTGCCATCCCCTGTGAAATGGTGTCATGGGCCTCAGTCCATTTCCTAGTTGAGATTCAGCCGTGTCACTAAACCGGCCCTGTGTGGTTGACCCCAGCAGGGAGGCTAAGAGCTGAATGGCCATGGAGGCAGAACGCACACTGGCGATGGTGGTTCAGCGGCGGTTGAATGCTTTATAGGCTCAAGACCCTGGGCGGCAGGGGATGGATCACTTGGTGATTGCCTGTTCGGTTCATTCCCTCTGGGGCACCTGGAATTGGTCACTGTCGGAAGACAGGATACTGAGCTAGATGGACCTTTGGTCTGACCCAGTCTGGCTGTTCTCCTGTTCTGATGTTTTTATGTTTGACGAACGGGGGGCTCTGTCTCCATAGTTGGGAGTCTGACATTTTACCCAGGCTAAGCTCTCAGGGTGCAAACAGCAAAGGGTTGCCCATGGCCCTGCCCGTTGGTGAGTGACTTCTGGACCCCCCCTGCTTTAGTGCGGTGCGGGAGATTGGACACACGCTGAATTTCCTGTGTTCTGTTTCCATCCTAGACGACCGGTTTCCGGAGTACGGGAAGGTGGAGTTTGTGTTCTCGTATGGCCCCGAGAAGATCCAAGGTACGGCCGGCGGCCCCTCTGCGTGGGGGCACTGCAGCCCAAAGCTACTAATCCCTGAGCCCCTTGCTCCCCCTACCCACTCCTTCCTGTGCCTGCCACCTCTGCTCCCGTCCGCTTCAGCCCCTCCCTTCCCCTTCCACCATCCCCCCGCCCCTGTGCCAGCACCCACTGGAACTGGGCAGCTCCTTGCTGTGGGTGAGCGTGGGCAGAGGGGCCCTGCTGCCAGGCACGGAGCATGCCCCATGTGCGGTGCCAGTCTCGTACTGCTCAGTAATACGGTCTCACTTGGAATGAGGCGTCCTCGTGGTGACCTGTCCGGGCAGGGGAGCAGCCCCCATCCCCTCCTCCACCTTCACGGAGGCCGGAGCCCTATCTGGGCAGGACACACAGGGAGCTGCTGGTCCCGAGGCGTGGAGCGTACGGCCAGGCCAGCGCAGCAGCCGGGCTGACCTCGCCAGTGTGATGCCGGGCCAGGCCCCGCTCCCCACTGAGACCAAAACTCCCGGCAGGCGCGCAGGGGGCGTGGGGGTGTCACTCGGGAACTGGGACTCTCAGAATCCCAGCTATCCGGCCAGTCCACTCACACATAGCGCCCCCTCGTGGCCAGGGGCAGCGCAGCAGCTCCTCGCTGGGCTAGGGCCCCCGGGGGCGGTCGCTGCCGCGCTGTGGTGGTTTCTCTGTCAGGTGACTCACCCCCCCCCCCATTCCGGGGTCCCAATTAAAAGTCCAAAATGTCCTGAACAGAAGCAAAAACCTTCCGGCCTCTCCGGGGCTGTTGTTCAGCCAGTGCTCGGTTCAGTCTGCTGCCCCCTCGCGGGGCTCCATACCCTTGGGATGGGCTTGTAGGCCCCCTCCTTGGGGCCGGTAGGGGAACTGGGTCCCAGCCTCGGCCCTGTACTGCACACCTGGGCTGGACCCTTTCCCCCTATTGCAGTTTTCCCTGGGAAACTTCCTACCCTTCCTCTTTAGGGCCCCTCTGGGTTTCCCAGTCTCTTCCCTGGCTAGTCAGGGTCTCTCCCAGGCCCCCTGCCTGAGAGCTTTCCTCCCTCTCTCCCTGCTCTTAGTCTCCTTTCCTGCTCTGCTCTCCTCTGTGAGTCAGGGCCCTGCAGTCTCTTCCCTCCAGCTGGACCCTCTCGGCGCTTAAACCTGGCTCCTTTTATACCTGGTTCATAGGTTCTTAGAGTCCAAGGCCAAGGGACCATTGGCACCATCTAATCTGACCCCCCTGGCCACAGAGCTGCCCCAAAACAATTCCCAGAGAAGGTCTTCTGGGGAAAAAAAAATCCAATCTGGATTGAAAAATTGTCAGTGATGGAGAGCTGACCACGAGCCCTGGTAAATTGTCCCAAGGGCGAATAACTCCAACAGTTACGCCTCATTTCCAGTGTGAAGTTGTCTAGCTTCGACTTCCAGCCACTGGATCGTGTTAGACCTTCTTCTGCTAGACTGAGGAGCCCCTTATCAAATATTTGTTCCCTGGGTAGGTGCTTAAAGACTGTGATCCAGACACCCCTTAACCGTCTCTTTGTTAAGCTAAATAGACTGAGGTCTTTGAGTCTGTCATTATAAGGCAGGTTTTCTAGTCCTTTAGTGGTACTCGTGTGGCTCTTTTCCGACCCTTCCCCAATTTATCAACATCCTCCTTGAACTGTGGGCACCAGAACTGGACACGGGATTCCAGCAGCGGTCGTACCAGTGCCCAATCCAGAATAAAATAACTCGAGATTCCCCTGTTGATGCATCCCAGGATCGCATTAGCTCTTTTGGCCCCAGCGTCACATTGGGAGCTCATGTTGAGTTGATTACCCGCCATGACCCCCAAATCTTGTTCAGAGTCACTGCTTCCCACGATCAAGTCCCCCATCCTGTGAGTACACGCTGCGCTCTTTGTTCCTAGATGGATACGTTTACAATTAGCTGTATTAAAACACATAGTGTTTGCTTGAGCCCAGTTTATCAAGCAATCTGGATCACTCTGGATCAGTGATCTGTCCTCGTCCTTATTTACCCCTCCCCCAATTTTTGCGTCATCTGCAAACTTTATCAGGGATGATTTCAGGTCATTGATAATGATGGTAAATAGCGTAGGGCCAAGAACCAATCCCTGCAGACCTCACTAGAAACATACCTGTTGGAATAATGATTCCCCATTTAGAGTTACATTTTGAGATCTATCAGTTAGCCAGTTTTTAATCCATTTAATGTGTCCCAAGTGAATTTTATATTGTTCCAGTTTTTTAATCAAACTGTTGCTCAGTACCAAATCAAGTGCCTTACAGAAGTCTCTATATTATGATATATACCTTTATCAACCAAATTTGTAATCTCATCAAATAAAGTTATCAAGTTAATTTGATAGGATCTATTTTCCATAAACCCATATTGATTTGCATTGATTACATTACCCTCCTTTAGTTCATTGTTAATTGAGTCCCATAGCAGCCGCTCCATTATCTTGCCAGGGATTGATGTCAGACTGACCGGCTTATAATTACCGGGTCATCCCATTTACCCTTTTTAAAAATTGGCACAACATTAGCTTTCTTCCGGTCTTCTGGAACTTCCCTAGTGCTCCAAGACATACTGAAAATCAACATGAATGGTCCAGCAACCTCCTCAGCCAGCTCTTTTAAAACTCTTGGATGCAAATTATCTGAACCTCTGATTTGAAAAGTCCAACTTCAGTAGTTCCTGTTTCGCATCCTCCAGCGATACTAATGGGCATGGAAAGAGTGTTATCATCACCAGATGACAGTGGGGTTCATCCTGTAACCAGGGTTGGTTTAGCCGCAGAGCAAGCCCCCCGTTACAGTACCCCTCAGTCTGTGCATCTCTATACATGCCCTTCTGTCACTGTCCGTCCCCAAACATGCCCCTGTGTCTGCCCCATTTGCTGCTTTCTGTCCATCCTCAGACACGCCCCTCTGTCTGCCCCCATATACGCCCCTTTGTCCGTCTGTCTGTTTGATCAGGAAGAGCTTCCCGACAGTTAGATCTACTAGTTCACAGGATGCCCAGCGCTGGGAGTCCCGCATCAGGCAGGATAACTAACCCCTGGTGAATGACCGATTGGAACAGCCTGGGGTTGGCAGAGAGATGCACTAGGTCCTGTGATGAGTCTTTCCCATCTCCAGAGCCTGATTCCTTTCCTCTTCCTTTTGTCCTGCCTTTCCCCCTCTCTCCTTTCACTTCCTGTCTCTTTCTAATAACCCAGCTTCTCCCGTCTCTCCCCGCCCCCCCAATCCTGCCCGGCCTGCTCCCATCTCTCCCCTTGACGTTCCAATGCACCAGACCCGTGTGTGGCTTCGGCCTCCTTTACTGACTCACCTCCGCCTGCCCCCAGGGATGGAACATCTGGAGAACGGCCCCAGCGTCTCCGTGGATTACAACACCTCGGACCCCCTCATCCGATGGGACTCCTACGACAATTTCAACGTCCGCCGAGAGGACAGCATGGAGGGTACCTGGGCTGGTCCCCATCAGGCCCACAAACCTCCGGACACAGGTCATTGTTATAACATATTATTATATTGCTCCGGCCCCTACGGGAGCCCCTGATGTGCCAGGCACTGTGCAGACAAGTCATCAAGAAGCCAGTCGCTTCCCCAGAGAGCTCACGATCTTGGGGGTCAGACAGGTGGATGAGGCAGACAAACGGGGGGCCGGGTGGAGGAGGTGGCGATAGGGCCCTCTGGTCCTCCAGCTACTTCTGTGTGCTCAGAAATAAGTGCGGGGAGCGATTTAGATTTATAAACAAGAGACGCCCGTCTGGAGACGGCGGCCGCCTCTGACTGCAGATTCAAAACACAGTAGCTCATCGTCATTGATGGAAGCGATGGAACCAGGCCCACGGCATACGCTGGTTACGCAGCAAGGCTAGGACAAAGCTATGCCCCAGTTTGGCACGCTCACCCCATCGGCTGAGACCCAGCCGCCGTCTGGGCCAGCAGCCCTTGCCGCTCACAAGCTGGCGGCGGGGGGGCACTCTTGCCGGATTGTTTGGGGAGGGGGCACATTCCAGAGGCAAAGGGTCCCTCCTAGAACTCCCCTTTATACAGCGGAGGTCTAGCATCAGCGTCCCCTGCAGGTCTCCACTGATGTGACCTGCGGAGAGGGGGGGTCTTGCAGGGAAGTTCAAACGTGAGGATAACGAGCAAAGGGGGTTCTAGGAGTCTGACTACATTATTTATGGACTCTCGTCACTGTATTGTCTGAGCCCTAACTCCCCCGCTCCGAGCCCGCAGGGCTTGGCCCATCCAGCTCGGGGGGCGGGCACCTTGGCAGGGTAGCGCTCTGGGGAAGCTGGCGCTGCAGTTGCCCATGCTGGAGCTGCTCGGTGGGATGGGAGAGGCCTCCTGTCTCTAGGGCTGTGGATCCAGCCTCTCGCTGCCAGGCTGGGGTTTGGAATAGGCATCCTGGCCTTGCCAAGCCGGAGTGAATCCCTGGGAGAGGGGGGCAGGGGTCTCAGCCCAGAAGGGCTCAAAGTGCCCTGCGCTTGGACTAGTATCTCTGGCAGATACGGCTCAGGAGGGCCAGGGAGCGGGGCGGAGGGCAACGCAACCCGTATCTCTCGCTCCTTCCCTACCTGCTGTTCCCCGACAGCCCTGCTGGGACTGGCGGCTGGGACGGGTCGGCTCGCTGTGAGTTCCAGGCAGTGGAGAGGTGAGGCTTGCAGGGCGTGGACGGGCAGGGAGACAGGCAGGCAGCGAGTGGTGCTGCATGGTGGACAACCATCATCCCACCCCCTGTCCCGTGCCCATGTCCATCATCCCCTCAGGGTCTCGGCAGCCGCTTCCATGGCCTGCAGGCAGCGAGGCTGATGGGCGGCCCTGGCACGAGAGAGCTGGGATCGTTGTGGGTCTCAGTCAGGAGGCTCAGACAAGCTGCCCGCAGTGCCGGGGTTCATGCAGAGCTGGGCTGGGGAGCTCACTGGAATAGCTTCACCGGCGCCTGGCCAGAGCCCGGATGCACCAAGGCCCAGAGAAACGAGACACGGGGCCAGACTCCAGCGGAGGGTGATTATCATAAACGGGAGCGCTGGTGGTGGGTGCTGGGCTGTCAGAATCATAGAATATTAGGGTTGGAAGAGACCTCAGGAGGTCATCTCCAAGACGCAGAAGAAGACTCGGTCCCTGCCCCAGCATCTTGTGTTCCAAACGAACGCACGGTTAATATATGTGGAGAGCGGGTGGCGGGGACCCGGGCCTGGGCAGCTGTTACTGCTTCAATGCTTTGTGCTCCCGACATGCACGCGGAATGGGGCTCGCGCTCGTTCTAGATCCCAGCAAGGCGGGCGATGGAATTTGGTATCTCGTCCCAGACAGGGCGCCGGCCCTGGTGCGCCAGAGAACGCTGGCCGCCCCTCGCCCCCTCACAGGGAGGCAGAGCCGACGCCCGGCACTCGGCCTAGGCTGTGCAGCCCGAGGTTATGACCCAGCCGTGAAAGCGTTTGATCTCCCATCCTAGCGTAGCGCAGCTGCCGGCCGCGGGAGGGGGCGACTGGGTTTGGGGATTGGCAGGAGGGAGCCACTGAGCTGAGCAGCAAGACGGGGCTTAGGATGAATGTTCAAGCCGTACTGGGGGTTAGTTTCTAAAGGAGGTGGGGACTGTTGGGTGTGGAGAGCCACTTAGCTGCACTGCTTAGAGCTGGGGGGGCCTCAGCCCGGCCCAGGGACTAGGTGCAGCGGGGGCAGGATGGGGGTCCTCTCTGGCCGTGGGAATGACACCACAGGCCCTGCCAAGGCAATGGAGCGTGATGTCACAAGCAGTATGTACCGGGGGGAGCCCAGCTGGCTGCACGGAGGGTCAGTGGGTTGGTGGTGGAAGGTGAGAGTGTAGAAAGGGCTACAGCGTCTGAGCCCAGTCACTAGCCCACGGCGATCCAGCCAGCCATGGAGAATGCAGATCCCAGAAAACCTGGAAGAGAAAAGCGAGGGAGCGTGGGCCTGGGAAAGTTGTTATTTATTATTAACCTTCTGTCCTTCCCCGACGCCTCCTATCCAGGGGTTTCAACATGCTTTATACCTCACAGCCACCTTGTAACGCCAGTGGTATCTAGTGCTTGTATCACTACACACACACACACATTCTAGATCTAAAGCACTTGACAAAGTAAGGTCGGTCTCGTTAATCCATTTTACAGATGGGGAAACTGAGGCACAAAGAGGGGAGAGCGGCTTGTCCAAGGACTCCCCCCTCCTTCCCACCAGCGAGTCAAACCCAGATCTTACAGGATGGCTGGCCTGGGTTTAGCCTTGAGTCTCATTTTCTATTGTTCGTGCTATCGCAGATTTTGCCAAGTTGCATGACTAATCTGTGCCTCAGTTTCCCCATCTGTGGAACAGGGGTAATTCTGTCTACCTACCTGACCTGCGGGGGAGTGGGCTAAGGCTTTGGACTTGGCAGATCAGCAGCATTGTAGATAGGCAGAATATTCCCTCTTTGCTCTCCGCTCCTGCAACTTCGCCTCTTGGTCATCCGTGGCCATCCGTGTGGGCTTGCAGGGAACAGACGGTGTTTTTATTTTGAAGGTGTGTGGGGCACGTGTCCCTGGCTCCCCGGATGTTTGCCTGACTGTCAGATGCCCAGTTCTTGCTGCCGCCTCCGGGGTGACGCTAGTGTTTACAAACTGCCCAGCTTGATGCATAGGGCAGGCCGAGAGAGCAGAGCCTCGGGCATTGCTCCTGCCGGCGTCCCAGGGGTCTGTCCGTTTCTGGACATCCTGGCTTCTTCTGTGTCCTGCGGACTGCGAGCGCTGCACTCGGGAGTCCTGAATAAAATCTCCCCCTCCCCCTGGGTTTGGTTCACAGTGTGGGCATGGAAAGCTGGCAAGGGGCAGCCTCCGAATTCCTGGCAGTGAAGAGGAAACAAGGACTCGTGACACATGGGCTCAGGCATGTGCCTGGCGTATCGGGTACCCAGCGTGACTTCATTAGCTCTGCAGAGAAGGGTCCCGACCGCCCTTCCCTAAGGAAACCAGCGATGCTGACGTCTTAAAGGGCCGGCCCCTTTCCCCTGGCAAGATTCCCGGCCAAGCTAATGGCAGGTTTTGCCTGAGCAAGGACTGAGCAAAACCTCAAGATCTGGCCTGTTTGCAGAATCTAAGATCAACAGGTCATCCTGGGCATGGAGAGCTGCTGAGGAGCGGGTGGACGTCAAGGAGATGAGGTTTTCCTAACTCTGCGTGGGGAAGTGGTGGCTACATGAGGAGCAGGCTGGAGTGAGAGCAAGGCCTGACAACCGGGCGGCTGCTTTTGCATGTGCATTTACCAGAATCCAACCCAAGAAAGGTAGGAAAATGCAGAGCTCCGGGGGAAATTGCCCGCGGCGGAGAAGAAATGTTTTATGCCCCGGAGGCTTCGCTTTCTGCCTTGCGCGTGGAACTCTTTTCATTCCCTTGTAAGGTCCCGTTCCTGGAGACCAGCACTCAGAACTCTTCATCCCCCTGGCAGGAAACGTTAACAATAACGGATGGCTCGTGAAATGCTTGGAGGGACCCGGCTAAGCCTCACAATTTATGGCTTCTTTCTGGTAGAGCCATGAGGCTGTCAGGAGGGGCAGGTACCGAGGAAGCGTATTTATCATTGCCGAGCGTTCTATTCCTGGCTCAGAGCCTCGTGGAAAATCCTTGGACAACGCAAGCCAGGGATCGCCCCAAGAAGGACTGGTTAGTTTTTTCTCTTCACTTGTGTTTGGCATCTCCTTTGTTCACTGCTCTCTGCCAGCCACAGCCGCTGAGAGCCAGGTGCTGCAGCGTTTGGCATTATGGGCTGCCCTGTCTTGTTTCTCTGGCTCCTCTTCTCTTCAAATCAAATGATCCGGGCCTCCATCGTCCCTGATCGTCTGTGTTCTTGGCATTCTGGGGTGTTCTAGTCAGGATCGCCATCTAGGGACACGCTAGGGGAAAGTGGCAGCTCCCTGCCCCGTTCCTGTTCTCACAGCGCCCGGCGGGCAAATGATTCCTCTCTCCTTAGAAGCCTCAGCCTTGAGGTGTGACCACGGCACAAGGCTTCTCCAGACTCCTTTCTTCACGGCATGCGCCTGCCACATCAGAATAGCAAGATGGGCTTGCTGGGAAAAATATTAGTTGCCGGTATCGGGCCTGACTCTGCATCCAATGGCAACCCCCCGCTGAGTTCGATTGGGCCGGATCCAGCCCCCGCCTGTCCGGGTGGTGAGGAAGTAGGCACAGAGGAGACCATCAAAGGGCCATTGATTTCAAGCAGCAGGGACCCCCAGCTCCGCTAGTCTGACGTGCAGCGCATCATGGGGCACTAACCCCTCCCAGGCCCCTCTGCCTGGATGAGAGAAAGACCCGTGGCTGTTGTGTGCCACACACAGAGAGCAGGAGGGACCCCAAGGTGCCACCGGTGCCGGAGGCCTCCACCAGGGCAGGGGATAGATGAGCTGAGATGTACCTGGTCGTGCAGCAGCCCAGTGAGGCCAGGTGTCCGAGCCGCGGGGGTCTGACACGTCAGGTGGAGGATCTCAGTGAACCACACCACG